GTCTGAAATCTGTCTCTCCTACTTCCTAGCTGCAAGGTCTTGGGCAGTGGATACATAGGCTACACTGGTATCACCACTTCTCCCTTTCAGCCAGGGTTAGGAACACTGTGCGGAGAACACTTACTACATACCTGACACTCAGTAGCTGTTCACGAAATGGTTGTCAGTGCTTCTGTTCTTTTCTCTTTTCTTCTTCTGCCCCTGCTGCTCAAGGGAGAGGTTGAGAGGGAGCTTCCTCAATTGTGCTTCCTTCTTGACCTTCAGCATTTCTGGAAACTTAGTCCTGGATCATCCAGTTGTGAGTCTCGGCAGTTTGTGAGTGAGGGGTGGTATCTGCTTGAAGCCAGAATAGCCTCCGCACCCAAGACTGTGAATGCCCAGGGGGGGCTCCATCCTTGGGGGCTTCTGTCCCAGCCATGGGACACTTGCCACCCTCTCCTAATTCCGGTGTAAAAGAGCATACAGTGGGATGGACCTGTAGTGGCTATGGGGCACTTTATTTAAAATTTTTTAAAAATTTTAGTTGGAGGATAATTGCTTTACAGTGTCGTATTCTTTCTGCTGTACAACAGCATGAATCAGCTACATGGATACATATACCCGCTCCGTCTCAAGCCTCCCTCCCACATCCCCCCAGCGCGCTCCTCTCGGTCATCAGAGCACCGAGCTGAGCTCCCTGTGTGATCCAGCAGCTCCCGACTGGCTGTCTATGGTGGTGTGTCTATGCTAGTGCTGTCTTCTCAATCTGTCCACCCTCTCCTTCCGCCATGGGGCACTTTAAACAGCAGTACTGAGGCACATTTTTATGTCACACATCCCCACATTTTGTGGCTCACCTGACATGTTGTGCTCCAAAAGAAAGCATTTTAGAAAACATGGATTCCATGTGCCCTTCTAGGTTCTCATCATTGCAGTGGTCTTGAGTTTGGTTTCTGCGTAAGTACTGAGCCATGTCCTGGCCAGCAGAGTGGGAAGATGATGGATGGGTTTCAAGAAGCCAGCTTGGTCTATGTGCTGTGTAGCTCGAGTATCACCATGAAAGATTGTTTAAAAAAAAAAAAATTCGATGGCTAGATAGATTGCAAAATATCATGTTTCAAAAATCAGGTTGGCATTCTAATGTAAACATACTTTTTGCAGAATTGTTTCATTTTTATCTGAAAGAATTTTATGAGCACTAAGATCATGTATCATACTTAAAAAAAAAAAAAAGATGTATTTGTTCACAAAAGGCAGCCAGGAGACTTTCTTTTAAACACTGTAGTAAGAGACTTCATGAATTCAAACAACACTTAATTATCAAAGGTAGAAGTCACCCGGGGAGCCTTACCAAGTACTTGGGGGTCTCAGGCAGCTGTGTCCAGACTCCAAAGACTTTAGGAGGAAAGAGGAGAAGACATCAGGTTGGATGGGAACCTGGAGACTGAGAAGAGCCGGGTGTGGCCAGCGGCCCCACCCCTGGGCTAATGGGGAGGATGCTCTTCTCTCTCCTCTGGGCCCCAAACACTCAGCTTCAGTGTAGCCTCTGGTCCAGTTTCAGAGACTGTTGTGGCATCTGTCATGGCTGAGGCTGGTGCTTCCCTTCCTGGGGCAATCTCAAGAGTTTTATTGGCCAGCCACTGTCCTGAGGGGCTGAATTTCTTGAGATGTAATACTGGGTCATTATCGTGTGAATCCAACCATCTCATCCTCTGTCATCCCCTTCTCCTCCTGCCCTCAGTCTTTCCCAGCATCAGGGTCTCTTCCAATGAGTCGGTTCTTGGTTGGATAGCATCACTGACTCCATGGACATGAGTTTGAGCAAACTCCGGGAGATGGTAAAGGACCGGGAAGCCTGGCGTGCTGCAGTCCAGGGGGTCACAAAGAGTCAGACACGACTGAGAGACTTAACAAGCACAACCTCGTGTGTGTTTCCACAGCTGCTGTTTCATGTGCTTTCTAGAGTCTGCAGCACCTCAGACAGTTAAGAGAGCAGCCTGAGTGGGGAAAGGCATTAAACAGCCGTAGGTCCTTCGCAGGAGTCAGAACCCAGAGGGAGTCGCTCGGCTGCCTGAGCCCAGCGGAGCCCTTTCAGAACCAAAACCAGAGCCCAGGCCTCCACGACTTCCAAATACTTCACTTTCCATGTTGCCGGAGTTAGAAAATGTCATGATACCAAATTTAGCACGACAAAGTATTTCTCTAGTTGCTTTTCTTAGATTAGAACATAAACTTGTCTTCGGTTTTGGCCGCTGCAGACACGTTGGTTTCTCCCGGGTCGGCAGCGTCTGGATCTCTTCCCTCCAGTGACTGGCAGAGGCCCTCAGCCTGCTTTATACGGTATTGAGCACTGGGGCTTTGGCCCAAGCCAGACCTGCGACCGGTGCCTTTCGTTTTCCTTGGTTTCAACAAAAGGTAACCCTACTCTGCACTTCAGACTCCCTGGCCTCTAGGGAAGTCTTTCTTTCCCAGATAGAGATGATTCTAGAACCTCAAAATGTTCAGTAGTTGAGTATTTGACCTGTAGGTTAGAAAGTAAGGACTTCCATTTAGATTGAAATTATTAGGTGGTGTGATGGAGCTTGGTTGAGGAGAGGCTCTGTCTGCCCGTGATTGATGGGGAAGGACCAGCGGTGCCGTGGTGGGACCTGGTGTCCTCACTGAGGCTTTTCAGCCTTCGCCTAGAAAAGCTGATGAAACCATTCCCCCTGCCCCCATCTAAATCCAACAGGGCAGGGATGGGAATGAAAAGGCTGTTAAACTGGGGCACAGCCTTTTCCATTGAGGCTGTAAGAGTCTTCAGCACAAAGACTCCATCCTATTCAGTCTCTGTTCTTCTTTCCAGAACCTAACACCATCCCACACAAAGGCATTCTGTTGAGTGGAATCGGATGTTTGCTGTTCTTTCTTTTGGTTGTGAGAACCCTAAACATCTGCCTATGAAAACATTTGGGTTCCCGTATCCCATTTTCAGCCTTTCTTTGGGTTTATCTCAAAGAGGATGAGGTGGTTGGATGGCATCACTGACTCAGTGGACATGCGTTTGAGCAAACTCCAGGAGATAGTGAAGGACAGAGAAGCCTAGCGTACTGCACTCCATGGAGTCACAAAGGCTCGGACATGACTTAAGAGACTGAACAGGCACACCACAAAGGAGAAAGTTCTGGTGGTGGTTTGTGAATATAGCTTTGCAGTATCATTTTATCTTAAGGTGTTCTATTTTCAAATACCAATTTCAAGCAGAAAGTTACTTAAAGTAATTGTTAGCCGATTATCCTAAACATACTAATATTGAGCGGTCAGGCTCCCCTCTCTGGCTACTGCCCGCACTTCCACAAAGAGATGAGTCTCCACTTTCTCAGCTCTGGTGCATTCACTCCTGCAGCCATTGTGTGATGCCTTCTGACCCCAGGGCTCCCACCACCCCTCCTGCATTTTCTGTGTTGCTGAATCCAGTGGGCAGTTTCCAGTTCTGGCTTTACTTGATCTGGCGGCAGCATTCCACATATACACTCTCTGTCTCAAACCACTCCCTCTGCACACTCCCCCCCAGGAGCATGCCCTCCGATTTTCCTCCCCACTGGCCGTTCCTCCCCGGTTCACTTCTCCAATTCCCCCTCTTCCATCAGACCTTTCACTCTTGCATGTCCTCACATCTTCTCACTCTACACGCTCTCCTGAGGTAACCTTTCAGTCCTGTGGTTTCAAATATCACTTGTACGCCAGTGACCAAAAACTAAACTGCATTTCAGCAAATCTAAGGCACATGTGATGTCAGATGCACCGAGATTTTATGTAAAGGAAAAAAAAAATGCTGCCAATGAAATGCCAGTGTCTTCTTACCATATTAATCTTAAGATGCATTCCGCTTTCAGAAATGTCAGAATGTGAAAAATGTACACCCAAGAGTACACCCAAGAGTACACCCAAGAGTACACCCAATAATGATATAATGGGATATATCACCTTGATATACTGATATAAGGTGATATCACATAATGATGTAATATCTTTTGTGTGGATGAACTGCCCTTTGCAGAGCACAGATACCTAGTGTGTCTTGAGCATGGTGTCCACTGGAACGTGCAAATGAATGGTGATAACTTTGTCTTAAGGAAAGCTGGTAGTTTCTTAAAGGTCATCATTTCTCCAAGTATGAAAGAGGCCTTTTTACCATACAGTTTACTTATATGCATAGAGGAGGTAGACTTGAGCTCGCCGTGCAGTGAGGCAGAGTGATGGAGCCATCGGGTCTTCATGATGGCATCAGCGCAATTGAGGTATATTTCACTTGGTCTAGAATTGACTGACTCTAGCATCACGGTCAAGACTGTTCTGGCTGTCTTAGTGTAAACCATGCAGTGATCCCTGAGCAGTGCTGTCCGTCTTCACAGAATTTCTCAGGCAACGGAATTTTAATTTTTTATTACTCATTTCTTCTTATTACATCATTGGGAAATCATGCTGATGGTGTTTCCCTCATCTTTTTTTTTTTTTATTTCCTCCCTCTACTTCAGAATTACTTTTGACAGCTGTGAGACCTGTGAGAACGATGGCTATATCTTGAAATGTAATTTTCCTGCAGCAGCATCCAAAATTAACAAAAAGACATGGAAAAATCTCATTGAGTGTTCTAATCTACCACCATCTGTGAACCTTGTTCTGTTCCACTGAGAGTTTTCTAAAAATAATTTAAGTGGTATATCTTTACTTCTATAGGGAAAATAATTCATACTAGATGCTTTGACTTTAAAATATTATCTTATGGTCAGTATGGTTACCCTAATAAAGTTTTGTTTCATGGGTTCTAAGTGCAGAGAAAATTATTTATGTTCCATTTTTTGATATTGTTAATTGGTATAACACCCTCTGGTTCGTTGTTTGTTTTAGTTGCTCAGTCTGGTCTGACTCTTTTGAGACCCCATGGATTGTAGCCCACTAGGCTCCTCTGTCCATGAGATTTCCCAGGCAAGAATACTGGAGTGGGTTGCCATTTCCTTCTTCAGGGAGTTTCCCAGTCCAGGGATCCAACCCATGTCTCCTTCACTGGCAGGCGGATTCTCTACCTCTGAGCCACCAGGAAAGCTCATATCACCCCTGGACCTCTGGTTCATTTAGCTATGCACATATCAGTATGCAACTGAGGTTTTTCCCCCCATGGAAGTGTCCTACTGTATCTCCTTGCTCTTCTCCTCCCACTGTCTCTTCCATGATATCTTTCTCACAGGCAGTTCAAAGTAGAATATTTAAGGACGAAAGTTTAAATACCATAATCCAATCACATGGGAATTGAAAAATATTCTCTTTAAAAACTCTTGGATCAGAGAAGAAATAAAGACTGTAGTTATAAACTACCTAGAAAATAAGAAGAATGATACTATTATAAACAAAACTCATAAGATGCTTGCCAAAGATTTGCTTGAAGGAAGATGATTGGACTTGAGGCTTGTTATTAACCAAAAAGAATGAAAATTAATGAGCTTATCAAATCTGCGGATTTAAAAATTAACAAAGGAAAACCACATAATATACTCAAAAAAGTGTGTTAAAACACTTATTAGCAAACACAAGCATAAATGAATGGTTGGAAAAGAGAAAAGTTAACTTCATAAATCCAAAACCTGTTACTTGGAAGAAAAACCTTTGCATACCTAATTACAAAAATGTAAGAACCTAGTTTACAATATTAGGAATCAGAAAAAGGTTGAGGAGAGAGGGATTTGCCCACAGACAAGAATGAAAAGATTATAAGAAATTGAAAATTAGCAGTAAGAAGGTAATTTGAAAAAAATAGATGTCAAAATGAGATTTAGTAAAAGAAAAAAAAAAGTAGAAAACATTGAGTGGGTCTATAACTGAGCAAAAAGTTGGAAGAATTATTAAAGAACTCTTTCTGTATAAAGTGCCTGTATTTGTTTCAAATACTAAATAATTTGTATGTTGAAAGCTTCCTAATTAATGTAATCATAATTGATTTCACCTGATAAAAGTGGCACAAATAGGCTAATGTAGACCAATGTTTCTTAAAAGCATAGATGCAGAAAAACCAAAAAGGAAATTATAGCAGATAAAATATAAGTAATATTAAAACAGTAATACATGGATTCCAAGTTGGCCATATACCAAGAATCCAAGACTTAAGGGTTAAGAAAATCCATTACTCTTATTGATAGCATCAGACTAAACAAAGCAAATATTCCTCCAAAGCATTGATGTTCATTTCTAATTTTCAAAAATCAGCACTCATTAAACTAGGAACAGATCACTTCCATGATGTGCTAGTATTTTTAAAAAATCAACATCAAATTCAGTGGTGAAATATAGGAAGTGTTTTCATGAAAAACAGGTGTGCACATGAAAAGACGTTAGCATCATTAACCACTAGGGAAATGCAAGTAAAAAATCACAAAATACCGTCTCATACCTACTCAGATGGCTATGATCAAAAAAAGATTATAGCAAGTGTTGGCAAAGACACAGAGCAGTCAAAACCCTCATGGAGTGGTGGTGGGAGTGTAAAATGGTACAGCCACTTTGTATTTGGAAAATAGTCTGGGAATTCTGCAAAAGGTTAAACAAAGAGTTACATATGACCTGGCACAATTCCATTCCTAGGTATATATACACCCAAGAAAAATGAAACCTTGTCCTCATAAAAACTTGTATGTGAAAAAAAACTTGTGTAAGAATGTTCATAGTGGCAATTTTAATAATAACCAAAAAGCAGAAACAACCCTAATGTCCATCAGCTGACAAATAAAATGTGGTATATACATGTAATGGAACATGTGTGGGGCAGTAAAAATAAATGAAGTACTGACATATTCTACAAATGGATGAACTTTGATTGAAACATGGATTGAAAACATGATGCTAAGTGAAATGAACCAGTCACGAGTACAGCATACTGATTTGAGAGGTGAGGATTGAGCCAGTGTCTGTTTGTAGATGGTTAATCCTTGGCAGTAGTAAGTAGCATTGCTTAGCCCCGCCGTCATCGCTGGAATGTTCTCTGGGTGTTTGAGGTGGCTGCCTTATTGGGGTTGTCGTCATGTGGGTTTTCACTTGCCCTGTAGACACTCTCTTGCCATTTCCTGTATGTTTCCTATTGGAATGATTCTTGAAATTGCCCTATCTTTCAGAGGTGTATGCTTGGTAAAAATTGTTTGCAGAAGTCTTATCTGACAGTTTGAACTGTAGTTCAGGGGTAAGAATTCTATTTAGTAGAAAGAGTTTATTATAGATATTAGCATCTTCATTTGGTAAATTTTCTTGGGGAGCATACAGAACATTCCTGTGATACTTTTTGCTACTGTATGTATGTTTGTATTCCTGCTAGTTTATATGGGAGCAGACAATCTTGGGGCCACTTCCACAACGGAGAAATGCATAGGAAAATACAGTTTTCTTTTTAATAGAATGCAATTCATATATAGTTAACATGTAAACAAAGAACTTTCATGTGTTACTTCCTGCCTTAAATTAGAATTATATAATTAAAGTAAAAACATTGACCTCTTTAAAACTCAGGATATTCTTAAAAAATAGGGTGTGTGAATCTTTTGTGGTATGTTTAAGGTTGCATTTAAGGAGTTGGTGAATTTGTATCTTTTGATACACAGACCTTTGTGAGATCTAATTAGCTTAAGGGGGCAAGTTTTTGTCTTTTGTTTTTGGAAGGGTCTTATTCAAAGTCATATTTGGATTAAGCAGGAGATTACCTGCTGACTGTTGTTTGTGACCAGCTCTTTTGCTTTACGATAACCCTGTCAAACTGATCTCCCTAGGTTGAAAACGTCCGCTTGGTAGATCGAATATCTTCTAAAAAAGCAGCCCTCGGTACTTTGTATTTGACTGCCACTCACGTCATATTTGTGGAAACCGCACCTGACGCAAGGAAAGAAACATGGGTATGCAGTCCTTATTTTTGGCTTTTTGTGTTTTCCATTTTTTGAAGTAACAAGTTTTGATTCGGTTTTGTCTGTTCTCAAGGTGAGGAGGGTGGGACTTGCAGGGGTTGGGTGTTCAAAGCACTCTTTCTGGAAAGTGAGCACTGCCTTTTTTGGTAAAGGGTCATGTCCACTTGATCTCTTTACTCACTTTAAATACTGATGATTTGAACATCATCAAAGAGAGAGGAATAGCCAGAGGTGTAAGTGCTTCGTGTCACAGCTGACAAGTAGAGATTCAATAATGTTACTGTACCAGATACAGCGTTTACACAGTGATTTGCAATCTGCTTCCTTCGTAGCATCCTGTGGTGCAGGCCATTTAGTCATTATGTTGTCTACAATTTTCTCATAATTTAAAAAAGAGAAAGTCTAGGGAAGAGTCCTATTATCAGGTATTTCTGCTACATAATAATGAGACCATTAGAAGGTCCTTATTTTAAGAGAGCTGCCCAACCATGGCATTAGGACCAGAACCAGAATCTGTGGATTGTAGATTCTGCCTTTTCTGTAGGCTTGATCTTTGCAGCAGAAGGTGGCCCGCCCTACTTAGTGGAGAGGAATTTAAAGAATGAAGCGTTGCCACTGAGGACCGAGCAGAGACCCTCCTGAAAGCCAGAGCACTTCAGCATGGTTTCCTTTTAAATAAATCTCTTCTGCAGCCTGCCTGACCACCAACAGCTTAGAAAACAACCATCTCAAGTTGCTGTTGAACTCGAGCATTCCATGTGGAATTAAGGAGCATGGTGGCACCTCCCAGCGGAACCGTCTCTAACTTTTGTTGATTGCAAGGTTTATTTTACTAACTTCTCATGACCTTATTTAATTTTAGCTACCCAGTGCATTTCAACCTTTGACGACCCAAATGTTCCCTTACCTGGAGCTGTGCAGAATTCTAGGCTGAAGGGTTTGCTTCGTATAATGAGCTTGACTATCAGAAAGCTTGGCACTGAAAAATAAAATGATGAATTCAGACAGCTGGTTCTTACCCCCAAACATACCAGTTCCTGTCAACTGAGTGCAAGCCAGCTGAAGGTCAAGGGTGTTTCTTTTCTCTATGTGTGGCTCAGAGACTGTTACCGAATCACAAGGCTTTGTGCCCAATGCACAGTGAGGCCCATCAGTAGTAAAACACTAGCTTTTGGAACAGAGAAAGGTTTATTACAGGTTTATACAAAGAGATGGGTGGCTCATGCCCTAAGAACTCCAAAGTTACTGAAAGCTTTCAGCAAGCCCCTTTAAAAGCAAAAGGTGAGGGTTGGGTGTGGTTAGTTGTTGCAGACTTCTTGGGGTCAGACCCTTTGCTCTTGAGGTCAGGTCATGGTCAGGTAACCATGTTCCTATAAATCTCTACCAAACAAATGTTATTCTCCATCCTGACAAGAAAGGGCAAGGTCCCAGGGCACAACTCTCACCCTCCAAGGTCCCATTCCTGGCTAAGAGAAGGCTAGAGCTCAGCTGGCAGCTCCATCAGGGCCAGGTTCCCACACCCTGCCCAGCTGTCCTCCCTAAGGGAGCCAGGCACCTAATCCAGCTGCCCATCGGTCTCCTCCAGCCGCCCAAATGGAGGGAGACCAGGTTTCACAGACTATGACCCAGACAGATGGCCACAGGTAGTGGGTCACAGAGACAGGGATGGGGGAGAGGTTCGCCGCTCCTCAAGGCCTGGGCCATGGCTAGTGGAGGGCCTTAGTCAGAGCTCTGGAGCCCCGCAGGACATCGTCCCCAGTCTGTTCCCTGGCCACCCCCCGGCTCAGCCACTGGCTCAAGGCTGGGTGAGCTGGAGGGCCTCCAGGAGAAGGCCTGACTCTACCTCTTAACTCACTCTCCACCTGACGACCACCTCACCACCAACCCTTGAGCTGAGTCACTTCCTCCTGGGTCCCTCATTGTCAGTTACCAGTGGGCGGGGCCTTCTGCAGGACTGACCAATAGCTGAGCAGGACCTTATTGACAACCGACCAATGGCTGAGCCAGGCCTGTTGCCTAGTAACAGGGTGCAGGAAGAATAAGGCCCAGCAATGGCTGCCTGCTAAGAGCTGTGACCCCTCTGCTCTGTTACAAGACCTGTTGCTTTCTGTCCTATGTACCTGTTATCTGTGCTTAGTTTACCCACATTAACTTCTGGCGGTAGATTCTCCACAGTCAGATCGCCACCATCGAGAAACAGGCAACGACAGCTACCGGGTGCCCTCTACTGATTCGCTGCAAGAACTTTCAGCTCTTACAGCTCGTCATCCCGCAGGAAAGGGACTGCCACGACGTGTACATCTCTCTCATCCGCCTCGCGAGGCCAGGTAGGGCAGAGCGGCCTGGCATTCAGCGTGGACTCACGCTTAAGAAAGTCACAGGTCATGTTGAAGAAATGTCGATAATGCTTCTTAATTATAGTGCTTTAGAGATTATACGTTAGGCCCAGCCTTCAGATGGGGGCTTCCTTGGTGGCTCAGATGGTGAAGAATCCACCTGCTAAGGCAGGAGGTGTGGGTTCAATCCCTGGGTCAGGAAGATGTCCTGGAGAAGGAAATGGCAACCCACTTTAGTATTCTTGCTTGGGAAATCCCATGGACATAGGAGCCTGGCGGGGAACAGTCCGTGGGATCCCAAAAGAGTTGGACACGACTGAGTGACTAAGCAACATCAAGCCTTCAGATGAGGCCAAGGAATCTGATTTAGTTTCTGTCTTTGGGGGCCTCTGTCTGAGTTACTTACTGTGTGAGCCTATTTCATTATTCATAGTATTAATCTTGGAGGGAGGTTATAGTTGCGCTTTACTTTTGGGATGAAATCATCCCAAAATGTGGTAATTGAGCCACCTTGATTGAAGCCTCTGACAAAACCCACAAATTGTTTTGTGTTGAAAACATATCAATGGTCTAGTGCAGTTTTACCTGTGTGGGAGCTTTTAAGTTTTGGTTTCTGTTGCTTTTTGACCTAATATGTTTTTCCCAAGGTTGGCATCAGTGACTATTCTAGGCATGTATATGTTGATTCTCCTACACAAAACCTTCTTAGGTTTTGTAGGAAGAATGGCTGATTTGAAAAATGTATGCTTTCAGTTACTGTCTGGTAGTGTATCCCTCATCTTAGGATCTTCAGACTTACAGCTTTTTATGCTATAAACCTAAGACATTTACAGCTTACTATGCTATAAATGTAAGAAACTCTATACAAGTGTTTCTTGTGTGTGTGGCTTGTATGGACCCTGGGGTTCTTTTGCTAAGCGTCTTGGAAGTGTACAGTGAAAAGAGATCATTTGTATAAGCAGTACCATCCACAGTAGTGTTCACCCAGAAGTCATTAATAAGGGAAATAGGACATGTGCTTATAGTTACTTTGTTGTTGTTGTTCAGTCACTAAGAGTTGTGTCTGATTCTTTGCAACCCTATAAACTATAGCTTGCCATGCTTCCCTGTCCTTCACTATCTCCTGAAGTTTGCTTACATTCATGTCCATTGAGTCAGTGATGCCATCCAACCATCTCACCCTCTGTCGCCCTTTCTTCTCCTGCCCTCAATCTTTCCCAGCATCAGGGCCTTTCCCAATGAATCGGTTCTTTGCATCTGGTGGTCAAAGTATTGGAGCTTCAGCATCAGTCCTTCCAGTGAATATTCAGTTACTTTACTGAATAGATACTTTACTAAATGCTTTTTGGTTCAGGGCAAAAAGTTTGATTGTAAACTCTTCAAAGCATTTGGTTGGGTCCTCAGATTCTTGTGATACGCAGGGACCACATTGTCTGTTGAGAGCCAGGAGCTGAAGTTATGTGATGGGAGGGTTGCCAGGGAGCTGTCAGAATCTGATCACTTAGACTTGACTTCGTTTCCCTTTCAAGTCAGCCCACTGAGGCTTTTTTATCTCTCTGTGTTGAAAAGAACTGCAGAGTTAGCCAGAAAAGCAGTTGAACTTTTTGGAGGGCGCACTATAATTGGAACAGAAGTTCTGGGAAGATGTACGTTAGGCTGTGTGTGGCAGGGAATGCGAGGGGGATTGTGCGCCAGCAGTTTCTGTGTCACTGATTAATGGATGTCCTGGATAATACATGTGCCCTGGCCGGATTAACGGGATTTAGGAATAGCCCAGAGAACTGGGAAAGGCCTGAGTGGAAGAGTCCATCACGGTGGCGATGAGAGCCCTGGCCTCAGATAACAGCGAGCTCCCAGATTTACATTGTGAGGGTCCCCAGGGAGGAAACCCGCTGTGTTTCCCCTCCGTTTAAAAACATACACTTTTTCTTAAAGATGTAGTTTTGGGAGTTCGGTATTAGCCAGAGACCAAAGAAGGAGACTATAGTAATTAATTGAATTAAAGCTTGGAAGATTTTTTTTTTTAAGCCACCAGCATTGTGAAAGACTGGAATTAGAAATGCCAGTTTATGTAAAACATGGTACTTTGATGAGTGTGGAAAGAGGAACTAGGACCCAGGCAGCTTCACAGTTTAATGCTAAAGGCGAGGTTAAAATTAGGACACGTTATAGCCCAACCTTGCAAGTAGGGATTTGAATCTGGGTGGAGGTGGGGAAAAGTGGAAGGGTTTCCCCTGGAGGTGGGGTGGCTTCTTAGGACACCCCAGTACCTTTCACCAATTACACCTTCGCTTTCCTCGAGGTATGTCAGAAGAGGGCTCTGGGTGTGTGTGTGGGGGGGGGGATGGATGTGTGTGAGTGTGTGGATGTGTGTGTGTGGTGGGGAAATGACTGAGTTCCAGCAGCACAGTGTTGATCTCCAGGGTTACTGTGGTTAGTCATCAATGCAAAGCTTGTATTTTCAGCTCTCCTTATGGAAACAGCTAACTCCAAGGTCCTATAGAGGAGACTTTTTCTTTTTTAAACAAAAGAAGAAACGTTTGGGAGCCCATTTAAGTCAAGGCCTGTGAAGAGATAGTTTCAAAGCCCTTGAGAGTCTCTCTTCACTGAATTGCAATTTCTAGGATAAGAATAAATCAAATGACTAAAAAATTTGTTGAGATTTTATTGGTTTGTCTTTTATGTTAATTCAGGTTGGTAAGGATTTGGTTATGGACTGTGAAAGATCCCAGCAAAATATACTGTAGCCAAATCCAAAGAACTCTTTAATTCTTCTTAAAGGAGTAAGTCAAAATTAGGCTGTAGCCCAAGTAAGGAAATGAATTGACTAGGTAGATCTGATGTACTAATAAGGTTATACATTTTTCTGATTAGAGACCCCTGTTTCTCAGAGGGCTTCATTTCTCCCACATCCTTTCTTTTCTCCTCCCTCTCATTAGCTTCCTGCTGTTTATTTTTCTATCTATCATCTTTCTCTCTTGTAGTATTTGTGGGCCCTATTTAATATTTAAACCATTTTTTGGGTCTGTTTTCCCATTTTATAATAGCATTTTCTTTCCTGCTCATCTGAGTCCCTAATTCTTCTGCATATTTTCTGTGGTTTTTAACATCTCAGGATTGACATAGTCTCCTTAGCTTACTTTGACTTTTTGCAGTTCTTATCAGAGTCAGTGCCACTTAAGCAGTTTTTACAGTAACAGTTTTCTTTTTATTGATGATATTAATCTCTGGGTCCAGTAGCCCTTTTCTATTAAGTGTCAGCTTCCTGGTGTTTAATTTGAGTACCTGTCTGTTGAAAACAGACAAGAACGTTCTTGTTATTTTTATTTTAAAATGTGCAAAACCCAATAATAACTGTTACCTTCTCATTCTTCTTTAAATGGTTTTTCAATTACATTTATTTTAAGTTGCCTGAATTAAGCAGAGCGTGGAGAGCAATTTAACTTTCATTACTTTGGGTTCTAAAACCCTACATATCAGAGAATGTGTGCATGCTAAGTCGCTTCAGTCATGTCCAACTTGTTGCGACCCCATGGACTGTAGCTCACCAGGATCCTCTGTTCATGGGGATTCTCCAGGCAAGAATGCTGGGGTAGTGTTCCACGCCCTCCTCCAGGGGATCTTCCTCACCCAGGAATCGAACCCATGTCTCCTGCATTGCAGATGGGTGCTTTACCTGAGCCACGGGGGAGGCCCATAAAAGAGAATCAGTTCAGTTCAGTCGCTCAGTCGTGTCTGATTCTTTGCAGCCCCATGGACTGCAGCACGCCGGGCCTCCTTGTCCATCACCAACTCTTGGAGTTTACCCAAATTCATGTCCATTGAGTCGGTGATGCCATCCAGCCATCTCATCTTCTGTCGTCCCCTTCTCCTTCTGCCCCCAATCCCTCCTAGCATCAGGGCCTTTTCCAATGAGTCAGCTCTTAGCATCAGGTGGTTAAAGTATTGGAGTTTCAGCTTCAGCATCAGTCCTTCCAATGAATATTCAGGACTGATCTCCTTTAGGATGGACTGTTTGGATCTCCTTGCAGTCCAAGGACTCTCAAGAGCCTTCTCCAACACCACAGTTCAAAAACATCACTTCTTCGGTGCTCAGCTTTCTTTATAGTCCAACTCTCACATCCATACATGACCACTGGAAAAACCATAGCCTTGAATGGGTACGTGTATATGTATGGCTGAGTCCCTTTGCTCTCCACTTGAAACTGTTACAACACTGTAACTTGGCTATACTCCATACAAAATAAAAAATTTTAATAAAGTAAAACCCCACACACCTGTCCTTCTGATGACTCCTGGTGAATTTTCCATTTCCTTCCTCATCTTGTCTTACTTAACTGACCTTGTGCTTAGTTGCTTGGTCATGTCCGACTCTCTGTAGCCACATGGACCTTAGCCCACCAGGCTCCTCTGTCCATGGAATTCTCCAGGCAAGAATACTGGAGCCGGTTGCCATTTCCCACTCTAGGTGATCTTCCCGATCCAGAGATTGAACCCACGACTCTTGCATCTTGATTATTAAACATTCTGCTATGTATTTTGCAGGAGATGGAGGTGAGGAGAACAAAACATTGTGTTTTAGTAAACCTTGAATTGGTGTTAGTGGTATGTTTTACGTTCTCAGAGTAGGCAGTTTGTAGCTGAGGGCTTCTCCTGGGTGGCCTCTGGGTAAGAAGCTTGCCCACATTAACAAAACTGAGCTTTGGCTGACAAAAATGGGGTTTTCTCTGCCCTTATGAAGAATTTTACATAAATTGGGCCAAAGGTATAGTCGACCACCCTTTTCCTTAAAAATAATTGAAAGAGAAAATTTTGTTATTTTAATGGCAACCCATTCTGATGGCTCCCCATTCAAGAGTGATCTTAATATTGGTTACAAATTATTCTTGCATGAATTTATATGCAGTTTCCTTGTCTCTTCCTAATGACAGCAAGAATGATCCTGAACACAGAAAATCATCAGTAGTCTTAGAGTGGTTTTCTGCCTCTACCTTTAAACCTATGTGTAGGCATTTAACCAAGGGAACTTAACTTCTGTCATTTCCCCATCTTCCTTAGCACTCCTTTCACTGAGGGAATGGAGGCTTTCTCAAGAGATTCTTTTGGCTTCTTAAACAAATTGCATTTGTGGTTAACATTATGATATCAGAAGCCTGAGTCATGAAAATGGTACTTAGAGATGGAAAACATATGTCGGTGTCAGGCTAACCATTCCCAGAACTGGATGTCAATTTTATATGCTGTCTGCTCAATTTGCTAAGATGGCAAGAAACCGTTTTTACTGGAAGTGTCTACATTGTGCGTGTGCGTGTGTGCACATGTGTGTACATGTGCATCTTCTTCTTTGTTGAAACTGTATGCTCAGTTTTCAAATTTGAAATACGATATCAAGAGACACTAAAATAGAATATAGCTTATCTCACTGATAAACCCTAGTCCTCTTGCTTCTTTTTTTTTGCAAGAAAGAGTACCTGCCTAATGCTAAAGTCTAGAACTTAAAGTATGAACCTTATCTTATCATGCTTGTGTCCTTGTTGTTTAGTCACTCTGTCACGTCTGATTCTTTGCAACCCCATGGACTGCCGTGCACCAGCCTTCCCTGTCCTTCACTATCTCCCAGAGTTTGCCCAAACTCATGTCCATTCAGTCCGTGATGCCATTCAACCATCTCATCCTGTGTCGCCCCCTTCCCCTTCTGCCTTCAATCTTTCCCGGCATCAGGGTCTTTCCCAATGAGTCAGTCTGGTGGTCATACCTGTAGGTGAGTCATTTCAATAGCAATCAAAAGAAGCTGGAGACAGTCTTGACCTTAGGCCACCTGTGCATTACTGCGGCCTTTTGCTGGTTCTACTTTGTACTGTTGGACTTACAGACGCATGTTTAGGAGCATTCAGTTGTTCAGGCTGAATTCCACTGACAGATGAAGGACTAAAAATGATCTAAGAACACTGTGAGGAGAAAACGAAAAGGAAGTTTAGGGGGATGGTTGGAAAGAAACTATACAAAAGTGGCCCGCGTTGGGGGAAGGGAGAAGGGGCTGCCTCGGAGGGGCAGCAGGTGTGGTGGGGAAGAGCATGCTTTATAGCGGACTCCAGCCTACTCGCTCTGTGACCCTGGGGTCACTGGCGAACCTCCCTGCACCTCAGGTTTCTCATCTCTGCAAGGAGACCTGTGATGATGCCTACTAGATGCCCATCGGTATGTTTCATCAGAAGAGAATCTGGAATGAAACAAGGGTTCACTGACTATCAGCCACGGTTTATTATCACCAAAAGTGCTTCTAGTTGCACTGTCTAGAAGGTAACCGCTAGCCACATGGGGCTATCATCGGCTTGAAATGTGGTTGGTCTGAACTCAGATGCGCTGTTCAGTGTGAAACACACACAGAATTTCAAAGACAGTACAACACAATGTGTAAAATATTAATAGGTACTGTATTCCATATATGTTGAATGATGCCTTGGATATACTGGGCTAAATAAAATACATTGTAAAGATTAATTTCACTTTCTTTTTACGATTTTCGTGTGACTACAAGGACATCTTACACGACAGACGTGGTTTACACTGTATTTCTGTTGGACAGCACTGATTTAGTTGCCTCCCTCGATGTGGCAAGGCCAGAGCAAGAGAACCAAAATCTTCGATCTTGCTGGGAATGGCTGTCAGGCCTGGCCTTGCAAGCATAAAAGGTGATGCCTAAACTCGGAGATGGTTTGGCAGACCTGAAAGAAGTCTGTCATCACATATCCATTGCACACACTCGTGGACAGGGTGCCATGCACTATGAATGGATCTCTTTTAATGAATCCTGGAAATACTGAGAACAGTACAGTTATGACATTTATGTAGTTGTTGAAAGTTCAAGTGTTTTCACTGCAAATATTTAAATATATTCCAGTTTTTTTCAACTGTTTTGTCATTTCTTTTTTTGACTTTTTTAAGCTGTTTGAGCTTTAGAACATGGCAATGACCTGGCCTTTCTGTAACCCTGAGAAGCCATCCCAAACTTGAGCTTGACATACATAAACAGACTGAGTTCTGGTTGTCTTAAGGAATATGTATGTCCTTTAAAAAAAATTACACTATATTTGATTTACAATATTGTGTTAGTTTCAGATGTATGGCAAAGTGATTCAGTTATACCTATATGTTCTTTTTCAGATTCTTTTCCATTGTAGGTTATCATAAGATATTGAATGTAGTTCCCTGTGCTATACAGTAACTCCTTTTTTATTTTATATATAGTGGTGCATATCTGTTAATCCCCCATTCCTAATTCCCCCACCCCTTTCCCTTTCGTAACCATAGCTTTGTTTTCTATGTCTGTGAGTGTTTCTATTTTGTAAATATGTTAATTTGTACTATTTTTTAGAATCCACGTAAAAGTGATGTCATATAATGTGTGTCTCTCTCTGCTTGACTTAGTGTGATAATCTCTAGGTCCATCTATGTCACTGCAAATGGCAATATTTCATTTTTTATGGCTGAATAATCTTCTTCTATATATATGTGTGTGTGGGGGGGTGTATGTATGTGTGTGTGTATGTATATTTTTATATAACATAGTCTATATCCATTCATCTGTTGATGGACACTTAGGTTACTTCCATGTCTTAAATATTATAAGTACACATATGTTCTTAATTCATTTTTAAGCCATATATTTTATGTGGTCTGAAAATATATTAGTTTTCAAAAGAAACTAAAAAAAAAACAAACCCCACAAAATGGGGAAGATCACACTCCTGAAAGGAAAGAAGTTCTTTTAAAGTTTCCTTTGGTTGTCCTGAGGTCTTGTCATTGTTGGGAGGAGGTGGATGGTCCCACCACAGAGATGGGGTATCTCTAGGGAGGGTCCTGAGGGTGAGCAGCTGGGCTGGCCTCTCCGGCCCGGACAGAACGTATTTGGGGGAATTTGGTTGTGGCTTTGACTTGGCTTGATTTGGTTTTATTCTCCCTTATTTTTTGCAGTGAAATACGAGGAGCTATACTGCTTTTCATTCAACCCCAAGCTGGATAGAGAAGAAAGGGAGCAAGGCTGGATGCTGATCGATCTCAGCGAGGAGTACAAGCGAATGGGCCTCCCTAATAATTATTGGCAGCTCAGCGACATGAATAGAGAGTATAGGGTGAGTGGAGGCATTTGGTGAAACGAGGGCTTAGCTGCTTAGTCACGTCCAACTCTTTGCGACCCTTTGGACTGTAGCCCGCCAGGCTCCCCTGCCCATGGGGTTTTTCAGGCAAGAATACTGGAGTGGGTTTGCCATTTCCTTTTCCAGGGGATCTTCCCAACCCAGGGATTGAACCCGCGTCTCCTGTGTCTCCTGCATTGCAGGCAGATTCTTTTCCCATTGAGCCATGGGGGAAGCCCATTTGGTGAAATGCAGATACTTAATCCAGATGAAGCCCTGATGTCACAGAGCTGAGCATGACTTCTGTTAGCTCTCCTTTCATTCCGACAGCTCTTTGTGGGTACAGATGTGTGGGTTTCCAAGTCTCCCTTGGGTATTACCAGCTGTATATTCTCCACCTGCATCTGGGATTGGAAAGTTTGCAGAAGCCACCATAGAGACCATCCCCTCCGACAGCTGCAGGAGTGGAACCCCAGAGAGGCCCAGCAGCACCCTTGGAGCAGCACTTCCCTTCTCCTGCCTGGTCTTTTTATAGCTCAGTGAGTGATGAGTAGGGAGGCGCAGAGGCTCTGATGGCAGTTTGGCACCAGCTCCTTCTGGGCTCCCTGAACTCTTGATTGGTACACAAGGTCACCAAGAGGCTTCCCTGGGGAACTGTGGAGAAGCATGTCTGCACTTCCAGAGGGAATGGGAGGTGGAGGGGTGTTGGGGGGAGCAGAGCTGATTCGTGTTCTCCCCGAGGGTGGGCTTGCACAGCAGGACTGGTTTCCCTATTAATTTTTAAAGTGTTTCCAGTAATGAAAGTACAGTCAGAACATTGTAGAGAATTTGCAAAAGAGAGAGAAAAAGGAACAAAACAGCCCATATCTCATTGCCCTAATGTTCTTCTCTGCGTATGTGTGCTCAGTCATGTCCAACTCTTTGCTTGGAGAAAATCCCATGGACTGTAGCCCACCAGGCTCCTCTGTCCACGGGATTTTTCAGGGGCAAGAAGACTGGAGTGGGTTGCCATTTCCTCCTCCAGGAGATCTTCCCAATCCAGGGATCGTACCCAAGTCTCTTGCATAGGCAGGCAGATTCTTTATATCACTGTGCCATCTGAGAAGCCCATATTCTTCTAGTGGATTTTAAGCTTCCCACTTTTTTCTCATCTGCGTAGTGTAATAACTTTTCTTACACGAGCAATGTATTTCATTGTTTACAGTTGGAGAATGTGGAGGCAAAGGGACGGTTCAAATACATACAACAAAAATGGAATTATACTAAGTATGTTGCTGTCAATAAATATGTGGAAGGTCAGGTCCTCCCACATCTTTCTTCTGAATAACTTTTTATTTTATTTATTTTCGGCTGTGCTGGATCTTTGCGGCTACATGGGCTTTTCTCCCCTTGTGGTGCCAGGGCTTCGCATTCTGGTGGCTTCTCTTGTTGGGGGGCACAGTGTCTAGAGCACGAGGGCTTCAGGAGTCGCGGCTCCTGGGCTCTAGACCACAGGCTCGAAAGACCTGGCACGCCGGCTTAGATGCTGTGCCGCACGTGGGATCGTCCCAGATCAAGGATTGAACCTGTGTTTCCGGCACTGGCGGGTGGCTTCTTGGCCACTGAGCCACCAGGGAAGCCTTCTTCTGAATATCTTGAATTTATAGATTATTTGGAATAGAATGGCCACTTTCAGGCTACTGACTTCTCTTCCTAATCGCACTTAAATCTAGCAGTCATAATCTTACACTATGAGCAGACATTTGAGTCCTTTCTGCCTTAACCATTATAAAGTATCCGGCTAATGTAATGATTTGTTCCGATGCTAAAGCCGACCTTTGCAGTGGATGTTTAGCCTTGAAATGAAGGAAAGGACTTCCCTGGTGGTCCAGTGGTTAAGAATCCTCCTGCTAATGCAGGGCACACAGGTTCGATCCCTGGAAGGCGTGGGAGGCTTCCACGTGCCTCGGAGCATCTAAGCGCGCGTGCCACGACTGCTGAGCCCACCAGCCGCAACTGCTGGGGCTTGCCCTAGAGTCTGTGCTCCGCAACTGAGAGGAGCTCTGGCTCGCCGCAACTAGAGAAAGCCAGTGAGCAGCCACGAAGACCCAGCTCAGCCAAAAATAAATAAATAAATAATTGGTTAAAAAAAAAAAAAAAAAGACACGCAAAGAAATGAAGGAAAACCCAAGTTTAATATAGAAAATTGGATAATTAAAAAAATTTTTTAAAAAACATGACACACCCTTGGGTGAGGGTGAAAATGAGGCTCAGCTGCATCTGTGGAATAGTATTTCCTTGGAAACACAGGTTCTTCCTATGTCTGATGAGGTTTCCTTCTAGACTTAGCACCACAAACATGACTCACGTTTAGTCACTCAAGTCCTACCGTGTAGAGACTCCAAAACATGAGTTACTCAGCTTCTTTTTTCCAAAAGTGATAGATAGCAAACGCAAACTAACAATCATCAAATTGTGCTGAAACAGAAAAGGTGAAAACCTAGGGGATTTTTCTGATTTTTACAAATGTTGTTGAAATGAGAGAAAGATGACGAACCCTTATTTGTCACCAGCTTAGAAAATATAATAAAAGTTAATTCTGTCAAACTATTTCTGACTAATAGTCCATTGGGAAGGTTATGTCATCACCCATTACTTTTGCTTTTAACCTCGTGGGCGAGAAAAACATCTGCTTTTTCCTTCCTTCTTTTACAAGAGTTACTTCTTTCTTTTCACAAATTCCTTGATGGGGCTAGTGGTGTCGTCTGATGGATAAGAAGCTATTGCCCGTGGTGGCAACAACTCCATACATGGCGTACTGAAGCTGAGCTTCCAGAACCAGCACTGCCCTGTTCTCTCCAAGCTAATTGTTACCAGCATCATCTCTATCAGCATTGCTCTTATCCCTTTTTATAAGACATTTGCTTTGGGTAGTCTCTCTAAGCTCAGATTTCCTTCTATTCCTAACTCGTTTTTTTTTAAAGATTTTTTTTTTAAAATGTGGACCATTGTTGAAGTCTTTATTGAATTTGTTATAGTATCACTTCTGTTTTACATTTTGTTTTTTTTCGCCACAAGGCACGTGGGATCTTAGCGCTCTCACCAGGGATCGAACCCCTACCCGCTCCCTGCATTGGAAGGCGAAGTCTTAACCATTGGCCTACCAGAGAAGTCCATGTACCTAACTCTTAAAATGGTCTTTCTTTAAATAAAATAATGGGCATTCATTACCAGGTTAAAATTTTAATCTGTTTCTCTTTGAATAAAGTTGAAAGTATAATCCAAACCAGTAATTTTAAAAATCTTGTTTATGTCAGTTCTCTACAGCTATAGTTTATGTATTATGTATTATTTTATTTATATATAAATCATTTCATGCTGCTCCTACTTTACATTGTAAATTTCTCCCTATTACATCATTAATTCTTTGAAGTAAATTTTAGGTCCTAAATGCTTAAGAAGACAGCTATCTATGTAGATGTAGCACAGCTCCTGACAGCTAACTCTCATCCCGAAATGCTCGGCTGTGTGGCGGACCCTCAGGAAGTCCAGAGGTCTGATTATTACGCCATGGCTGGCCCCTCAGGTGGACACTACCCTTCAGTGGTAAATGCATTTACTGGGAGGTGGTAACCAGGGCAACCAGGATCAGTCTTTCAGGGAATGTGAGTCTTTGCGGCCAGTAACTCTTTTGTTATTCATTATTGCCCTAGCACCTAACCTAATACCTGGCACATAGCACATCGTGTTCAGTAAAAATTTGTTGATAGACATCAATATTCTGTTATAGTCAGCACACTTTTAAGAGACTAGAACTTAATGATTCCTGCCACTGAAAAGAAAGGATGATCATGTAACATGATAGAGGTGCTAATTGTCACTATGATGGCAATCGTATTACAACATATAAATAAATTAATATGTTCTACACAGGAGATGGCAAGAGTGGACACCAACATTTTAGGAATCAGTGAACTAAAATGGAATGGAATGGGCAAGTTTAATTCAGATGACCATTATATCTACTACTGTGGGCAAGAATCCCTTAGAAGAAGTTGAGTAGCCCTTATAGTCAACAAAAAAGTCCGAAATGCAGTACTGGGTGCAATCTCAAAAACAATAGGATGACCTCTGTTCATTTCCAAGGCAAACCATTCAGTATCACAGTAATCCAAGTCTATTCCCCAACCACTAATGCTGAAGAAGCTGAAGTTGAACGGTTCTATGATGACCTACAAGACCTTCTAGAACTAACACCCAAAGAAGATATCCTTTTCATCATAGGGGACTGGGATGCAAAAGTAGGAAGTCGAGAAATACCTGGAGTAATAGACATGTTTGGCCTTGGAGCACAAAATGAAGCAGGGCAAAGGCTAACAGAGTTTTGCCAAGAGAACGCACTGGTCATAGCAAACACCCTCTTCCAACAACACAAGAGACAACTCTACCCATGGACATCACCAGATGGTCAACACTGAAGTCTGATTGATTATATTCTTTGCAAGTGAAGATGGAGAAGCTCTATACAGTCAGCAAACAAGACCAGGAGCTGACTGTGGTTCAGATCATGAACTCCTTATTGCCAAATTCAGACTTAAAGAAAGTGGGGAAAACCACTAGACCATTCAGGTATGACCTAAATCAAATCCCTATGATTATACAGTGGAAGTGATAAATAGATTCAAGGGATTAGATCTGATAGAGTGTTTGATTAACTATTAATGGAGGTTCACTGTACAAGAGGCAGTGATCAAAACCATCTCCAAGAAAAAGAAGTGCAAAAAGGCAAAATGCTTGTCTGAGGAGGCCTTACAAATAGCTGAGAAAAGAAGAGAAGCAAAAGGTAAAGGAGAAAAGGAAAGATATACCCGTCTGAATGCAGAGTTCCAAAGACTAGCAAGGAGAGATAAGAAAGCCTTCCTAAGTGATCAATGCAAGATCACAAATGGGAAAAGACTAGGGATCTCTTCAAGAAAATTAGAGATACCAAGGGAATATTTCATGAAGAGATGGGCACA